TGCATGTATAGTTAAAGGAGGCCAACAAAGGCGCATATCACGCTTCACTTGTTCCCCCAAAAAGGTACGCATCCAATTGTTGAAATATTCAAATCGCTCTACGCTTGAGGTCGCAGTCGCTTCGATGGATTTCGGGGATTTGCATGTGTCGTAGCAATTCGACCAACGATACGAGATCGCTCACTGATTGTTATTGTGAAACAGGAACAAAGTGAAAGCAGAGCGGAAGCGGAAGGTTAGTGTCATGCGCGCACATGTGATCCCATCTTGAAATATAATCCAAGAATTCACTTGAGAATCTTTGAAAATGAAAAATCCGGTAGAAATTTCCTTGAAAGGCTGAACAGTTCCTAATTTCTAAAAAATGTATCTAAAGAGACATATTCGTCTGAAAAATTGAGCAGTTTCCCATTACTTTTTCTATAAATGTGTAGAATTAGTGACACATATGATGTAATTGCACTATACGCGCGAAAACACAAAAAACCTGACTTTCGTGGACAGGACGAAATTAACGTAAACTGTTTCTCAGGAGCCATTCATGTTTTCAATTTCTGTACATAATTTTTGAAAAAGTCATAGCATTGTGTCATGGCAAGGCTTATTTTTCAAAGTAAAATATTGCAGGTGGTGGAACAAATGAAGAAGTTTAGGTGAATGACCCGAATTCGAAACTTTTCCTTTCCTATCTTGGTTATATATCTAAACTATGCAAGGCCAGAATGTTCCATTATCAAATCATTAAAAAAGTGTTACTAGATGCGAGATAGAGCGTAAAAATTGAAAAAAGAAAACAATTACTTTTTACCCTTAAATTTTGGGCCCCTAAAACTCGAGTCAAGGAAAAAAGGGCAGGAGGAGGTTTGATCATTTGCCAAAGAAGAAAGAACTTACTTTTTAACTACGGTAAATGTTTTGAAGCCTACATGTTCAAAAAACTTTTAAAAAACGGTTCTATCCTAATCTTACTCTCATTCGTGACCATTGTTAAACCATAGTCTCAGCAACCAGTTACCCTAGCGCGATATGACTTTGATTTTATTGATCTATTGTTCTGGATAGCAATGCATTGCGAGAGAAAGTCCCCATATCGATGAATTTCTTCCTCAACGCTCCTTCTAGAACATTGATCCAGTTTTTTACAGTAGCTCCCACTCATAACAAAGGATTGCATGCGCAACCGATTGAGAACAGGCAAGAAAGTCATGTTTAACGAATCAATGTTTGTCGTTTTGCTCGAATAAGATCAATTTTGAATGTAAATGTGGGAGTTTCATTGTCATTTACGGTAAAAAAGACAATCCCGCAAAATGGTTAAAACAAGTTCTTGTTTTTCATTTTCATGCATCCTATTGTCAGGCACCTAAATAACCTAATTGCTCAGAGAAAAGATGGAATTGTATTTATTGGAGTATTAACTCAAAAAATGCAACCGCTCCAATGCTCGAAAACCGAAGTTTCAGTTGCGTCTAAAGAAAATTATGCAGTTTAAGGTAATTTTTCACATATCTCGTAGTTCAGTATGTCATCTTATCGCAATCATCATATGCTGCTA